GCTATCCATTTTCCTAGCTTTACATCCCAGAATTCAGGGCTAAAGCTTTTGTGCAGTCTTTAACTTTGAATGACCTTCTGAAATGGGAATACTTGGGAGCCTCTGTTTTATCTCATCGGTAAACTCACACATTGGACACATGCTTTCAGGTTTGTTGTGGGTTTTGTTTGTTATTGTCTTTTTTCTAAGAAAGGAATAAGAACTGTAGGTACAGTTTTTTCATAGGCAACTCACTCAAAGCCAAGCGATTTGAAGGCTAGGAGATACCTACAGAGTTTTTAGCCATCTGGGACTCTAAGATACTTCACATTTAAACGGCAAACTACAGAAAGGGCAAAAGGATTGCTCAGCCCCACCAATGAGATAATGAATATAGCTGAATACCCATGTTTTCCTTGAAATACCTCATTTCTGCTCAGGTCAGAGAGATGAGGCCACGAGGCAGACTGCCATTTTTGAAGAGTGGCAGAAAGGGAACACTAGGAAAATGATTAGACTTCAGCATCATTTAGTTTTGGTCCAAAACCACACAAAGATTTCTGCTGCTATGAACGAGACTACCTAGACCTTCTCCAAGTGCAAACACCCATGGGGTGGAAGAGGCTCTCTCCGTGCTCCGCTTTGCTCGGGCAAGTCTTCCACTATCCCTGAAGCTCTATATAGGCACCGTGTCTCCTCCCTTTAATTTGATGGTAAAATAAAACACAGTGGGAAAGGATGCAGCTTCTTGCCACTGTTGATACAGCTAAGGCATTTTTCTGTTTGAGGGAAGACACTCTCTCATCATTGTCTCTAATTTTTGTTCAAAAGTGATGCATTTCTGTCCCCTGGGAAGCCTTGCCCAGGTTGAGGTATGACAAAGGTTTCAGCAACGAGCCACCCTCTCAATGAATCCAGGGAACCTCTTTGCTCACTCTCCTATTTCCTTGTTCATTGCCATCTTCTAATTAACAAGTTGCTACTGTGTCTTTTAATCTTAGAAGGACACAATGAGAGGTACCTGGTGGCAGGGGACTGCTGGGGCTGTTTTACAACAATCCAGCAAGAAATGGAAAATACAGCCTCAAGCATGAGGAAAGATCAACAATATCCACAAAAGTTTGGCTGAGAGGCAGAGTGCTGTAGCAGAATTGACAGAAATCCTACAAATACTATCACAGTCAGGGATGAGTGGGGAAAGGCAACCAACAGGTATAATCTGTCCCTGCAGAGGAGAGAACACAGTCAGAAACTCACAGAAGATGCCATCCTAGAGAGTTTAAAAAGACTGAGTATGAGATACCCACCCCCACTAACATACTGCTTCCCCTTCCTATAAGAATTTGGGAGATGTGAAAGACTAATGTGTCACGTCAAAATTGTGTCACCTCACCAATATTTTGCTTTAGAAAAGTGGCAGGTTTAGATTGTTAATGTTGTTGCAGTTCCTAGACTGAGGGAAAGTCAGGCTAGTTTTTGTTCCACCCTCATCATGGACATTAGACTGAGGAAACTCAGATAAATTTCATCATGTTAAGGGATTCCATTAAACAAATAGGACTGCTGCACAACGTTTATCTTCAGATGCTCCCTGCTAGCAGCATGGTTAGTTTCAGGGGTTTTATAGGCCTGTTTCCATAAACAGTCTCCATAAGTATTCACTTCCCCTTAGTTCATCCGAATGCTCCGTTTTTTCACTTGAATTGTCCATTGCCACATACCAAGTGGTGAAGGATATACATCAAAGTTAAAGAAATACGTTATGTTTTCTCCTATAAACATCATAACTTACACTCCTAAACCAGAAAAAAACAGACATACTAGTGTGTCCTTTTGACACTGCCTCCTGTCGGACGCGTTCTATTCAGGTTGGAGTGGGACTTGACTTCTCTGTAACATTCTACATTGGATTAGTTTTCATTAAGGCACAAATCAAGCAAAGCATAAAAACAGATGTGCCAGACAGTAATCCTGCCTTCCCTACTCAAGGGGCACACAAGACATGCTGTACAAAATGCTCCCGACTTCATATTTGTCTTTTCTTGACAAAGTCGCCAACACTGTCTGCTGCTATGTTTCATAATTATTATTCTTTCATTTCTTCTAATTCTTCTCCTTTGAAAAACAGTACAGCCCAGAATATCATTATGGAATTAGATGAGAATCAGTAAACCACAACATAGTATCTACCTGCACGTACAACAAATGTTTTCCCTTCATGTAGCCTTGCCCAATAGTTTTGATGCACTTCATAGTCTGTTAAATACGCCAGGCTGACAAGCAACGATTCTCTTTCAATATGGGCACTTCTGTCAGGAGACAGGTCAAAGTCAGAAGATGCCCCAAACTTCAAATATTGTTTTCAATCAAGATACACACAAGCCTAATTGCTTAGAAGCATGGCTCAGCCTACTTAGAGTAAGGGATGGGAGCGATACCCAAATTCCCCTAAGTTTAAACCTGCTAGAATCCAGAGTCTGGATGCAGAATCATCCTTAGCTGATGTTCAGCAACTCACCCTTCTCTTTTCTAAGAGATCTGAGTGCTCAGAAAAAGGCTGTATTTGGGGGATTTCTATCATCTCCCCATACCACATTATAGCTGCAGCAAATGAAGATCGAAACCACTTCTCGAGAGGGACATTCGCGAAACAAGCTTCAGTCAGTTAAACTAGCTAAGCAACGCATCTATGCTAAGTCATTTTCCACTGTAACAGGATAGCACCAAGAGGGTAAAACACATATATCATCTGAAGTAGCCGCCCCCACAGCACTGTCAGACAAGCTTGCCCTCCCAAAGGAGGGAGGGTAGAAGATTAGAAAGCAAGTAAGGAGAAATTTCAGAACTACTTGAGTGGAAACTGAGCAAGATAGGTTGGGAAGAGGTTTTGTTCTGATACTTGCCTCTTGCTTTCTTGATAATGTCACAAGTGAAGCAACTGCTCCTGTTAGGTACCAGGTACCTCCTTTCAGAGCTGACCCGACTGACCTATTCTATTCAATCTTCCTCTGTGTTCTGCCATGAATTACTTTTATCACCTCCTTCATAACCAGAGCTTCCACAGAATGTTTTCTGCTGGTTTCTTGGAAATTTTCTTCATTGTTTATAAACTATGACAGATACAACTCCAATTATTGTCAACAATAAGATGCCAATACAGATCCAAACATATGTGGCCGAGTAGTACAGAGGAAGTGTTCTCCTGTTTCACACCCTTTGCTACCACGACTGCTGCGCTTTCTTCTGGTCCTAACATGGTATTTTTTCATCTGTTTCTTTGTTTTCTGTAAACTCTCTCCATGGAGGCCCTACACCACCATAGGAACTTGACGGCCTCCTTCAGAAACTATTAGGAATGTTCCTTTAACAAGCCAGATGGGCAGTTATTAAGGGCCATAAGGTGTCAGAGGAAACACAGGGGAATTTATTTTCTTCTTACTCACAGAGGTGGAAATCAGAAGTCACATCTAAGGTTTGCTAAAGGACAGTCAAACCGTTGGGTCTCAGCATCATTCCCAACCCCTGCCAGCTCCCCATGAAACATGGACTAGATTAACCAGTGTAAGACAATGGTGCAACAGTGTTTGCACTCAAAGCTGAACCACTTTAAGTGAACTGATGCAGCATTTAGACAGACAAACCTTTGGTGAGTGAAAAAGCTTCTTTCTCCCTTTGCTTTCAATCAGACCTACCAATCCATTAGTTTAAGTCTGAGGCACAAGCATAGGTAGACCTGATTAGACCACGAACAGACCGAATAGCACCCAGAACCACCCAAATATGAGCCTTTATGATTTTGGATTTGGTCATTGCACATCCACCACACGTTGGGGACATTTTTAACTATACCACTGGCGCACATACGTCAAAGTAACAAGGACATCAACACAGACTTCAGAACACACCCTAGGAGTCTGGAAAATAACTGTGTGACCAGTCTACCTTGAGCTATGTGCAGCCTTGGCTAGCTGGCTTCAAAAGGGTTTGGGAACTTCTACAGAAGGACTTGCCTCACTGTGAGTTCAGATCAGCCATACCCTCCACGTGAGAAAAAAGAGGGCAAGCTCTGCAATTGTTACAAATGTTTTGCATAGAAAAGGGGAGCGATGTTAGTCTGGAAAAAGACACTCTGCTTGTCTACAAGCTAATCCCAAGAGAGCGATGTGATTTACTGAGATGAACACACCCCGCTGCAGCTTCGCTGAAGTCAGTGAGTACCCACAGCAGTACAAGGGAGACTATTCCTCTTGACCAGCAGGCAAGCCTGCAGCCTGCACAAATGGCAAAGCTTATTTCTTGCAGTTGAATTTTAAGTTTTAGAATTTAAAAGCGAGGCTTTTGAAAATAATTTGGACACTGAAATCCCTTATGTTTCCTCTAAGAAGTCTGGTCTGCTGGTTGTTTAGTTTGTAAAACAACCCTTTGTCATATCGTTTTTCTACTTCGTGACTTTTCTCAGGGCTTATTATCATTTAAAATAGGTAAAACTGAACAAACTGAAAAACAGCTGGTTATTTTTTTCCTGCAGACCATTTAAAAAAATCACAGAACTATTATTTTGACTGAGCGTTTTCAAGGTCTTTTTGCTTATATAAAATTGGAAGAAAGCAGAAGGTACTGGTTTTATATTTCCCTTCTGCTTTACTAACAGAGAAACAAAAATTAATTTCACTCCTATTGGTTGCAAGTCCCACAAACTGTCCCTTTTTTGGTCAAAAACATGAACTATCTCAGGCAGTTTCCAAACAGATTTCTTCTGTTACTTCCCACTAGACATAATACTTTTCAACCAGCTATAATTAAAATCAACAGGAAGATTCCCAATGATACAAAAGGGAGTTGGATCAGGCTGAATCACATCAATTTCAGCTAGATTTTTGTGAAAAGGATATTCTCCCTTCTGGCAAAATAAACAAATAAAAGAAAGCATTTTTCATCTTTGATAGGTAAAACAGAGGATACTACTATCCACCAGCACTGATATGCTAAAGAATGGAAATTTTTGCTATCATTCCACTTGGAAAAATCACTGCTAGAAAACAATGAAAAATTAGGACTCTTCTATGTCCAACTGTTGAAAGACTTAAGAATTTTTACTGCCAACATTCAAAATATGGCCAAGGACAGAAGTGCTACTGGTTTTTACCCGGAGATGGTGGCATTTTGCAATGAACATCCACCATGCATCAAAAAAGATTTTATGCCTGTAAATACACAACAAAATGCCCCCATCCTTTCCTTAAACAAATAATTTCATATAATTATCCAGATGTAATAAGAACTTAAGAAACAAGTCTGGGTTTTTTTCAGATACAAGGTCCCAATCTTAAATATAATTGCATCCAGCTAAACTCCTATGTTAACATAGGGCACCACTGGCTTCAGCGGAGCTCCACACAGGTTCAGGTTCTGCTTGCATGGAGTAATTACCAGATTGAGACCTATGGCAAGACTTGAGAAAAAAATATTTTAAAAACCTCTACATTGTTCAATATACAATAGACATAATTTTCTAAATGAGTTTGGAGTCCTTTATTACAGGCCTCTAAAAATTATGGTTAGGGTTATACATTAAAAATACTAAAGTAATAAAAAAAGGATTTTTTTTCTGTGTTTGCTTGTTTCCTTCTATGGTACCATTAAGCTATAAATAATTTTAGGATAAAATGCCTAGGTATAAATGAAACTGTTAACTGATCGTGTTTGCTGATGTCCCTTTCTCACATTGCCCAAGTTGGCTCCATTAATCCAGCATCTTCTCTTGTTTCTTGCCTTCCTTTTTCTTCTTCTTGGATTCTGTCAAGATAACAATAACCACAAAAAATTAGCATCTAGCAGCCACTGCAATAAATTTCATCCAGTGCCCCTGAAATTTCCCCTTGTTTTCTCTATGCACGTAAGAACTAATTTTCATTCCTCATTCTGAACAAGGAAAGGTAAAACAGAAGGAAAAGAAGAAAAAAGGCACAGCCGAGGCGTTAGGGAAGATGGAAAGGGGCATGCACGTCCAGTTCAGAGCCCTTCCTATCTGAGCAGCTGACCCTGTTTGGCATGCAAAGCATTGTCTCAGGAACTTGCTTCGAAAATAAGAAAACAGCAGGCAGCTCCTGGAGAAACCGGGTCATGGCTCAGTGGAGAGCTGGAAGAAAGCTTTGCACACACTACCCACACACAAACCCCTCCCTTGCTTCCTTTCGATGTCATTGTGAGTCTTTGGCTTTCTCTGAATATGAGAGCAACTCCAGAGTGTGGTGAGAAAGCTCATTTGTTTCTTTAGCTTCTCCATTGCCAACCCTTCCCCCTCTGTCTGGGACAAACACCTACGTACACTTGAGAGGCAACCGAAGTTTGGCCTGGAGTCACCAGAGCACGGTCTGTCCAGCCAGCTGCTACTGATAGGACAGGGAAAGGACTAGGGAGCATCTGCTTCTCTGATTAATTTGGGGCAAATAAGGGAACAATGTGAAGGCACAAGTGAAAGTTTATATATTATACTACCATCCGCAGGAACTTTCACTGTGCTATAGGGCAGTGTGGTGTTCTACAGGTACAGAAAATTCACAGAGGGACCCAAAAAACTAACACATGTTAGTTTAGGATTAGGTACTCTGTATCACATGCCACCTTGTAATGGGGGCAATAACAGCTGTCACTGGGAACGTGAATAAATCCTCGTGGATACCACCACAAAACACAGCAAAACGGGTACTACATTGAGACAGAAACTGAGCTTCTGTAAATCACCTTTCCTGGAACCAAAACAGCAAGCAAGTAGACCCATGCTTTAACCCAGATTTAACTTTCCTCCTTAGAATCCTGCCTTTGTTTCTTCCTTCTCAAAAAACGACACCCCCCCCGCCAAAAAAAAAAAAACAAACAAGCAAAAACCCCACAAACCAACAAAAACCATCTCAAGTTAAATACCAAATATCACTATTTATGAGAAGACAAGCACTTGGCTCTTTAGGGGGTACTCTCCTCTGTGAATGTGACTCTTTTCCCTCTGACCAGTTTGCATAACATAGACAGTCAAGCAATCATCAGCTCTGGTAAAACCAGCTTACTTCCATTAAAGCCAAGGGAACTACACTTGACATCTGTCAGCTACAGATATGGCCAGGGTACCTTCAGCAGAAGGCAGACTTAGGTTACCACATTTCTCTGATGGTGTTTTTTTTCCTGTTTATTAGTGTTTAAAAACAACATTTTCTTCTTCAACTTTTTCAACAAGACAAAAATTGTTTCCAATAAAACTTTAGCCCAAGCAAAATAAAATACCTATTTCATATTTAGTCACATAATCACATAATCTGCTCTAAAATCTCCTTCCGTTAAAAACTTTGCTTAAATTTAAAGGGATAATAATTTAAAATGAGAAGTAACTCGTTTTCATTTGAAAATGTGAAAATGAACTATTTCCCCTCCCACACACTCTTTGTACGTGTATCTGTGTTAGTGTGTGTGTGTGTGTGTAGGCACGCCTGCAGTCTGGAGCCATTCACAGACTCTGGCACTATTTTATGACCTGTCATTCCAAAATGCCATTTTTCATTAAGTTGATATCTAATTTGCTTTCAGCTATAGCTTTTTTTCCCCTATAAATTTTCTGTCTCCCCTCCTATCCTCTTTTACCCATGTCCTCTACTTCCTCTCATTTTCCCTCTGTATCACTGAGCCTCCTGGATTCTGTATTGATTGTGCTCTCTCTCGCACTCTCTCTTCCCCCCCAACATCGCTTTCTCTGAAAGAAACAGCAGTATTTTATCAATCAGACTGGCACTTGAATCTGCAAAATGTATTTAAACCCAGCACAAGCAGAAAGGCACTCTGCAGAGTTCAACTAAGTTTACTAAAAGCAACGGAGACGTATGAAAGTGGGCTGACAACTAACAGGACTCTGCTGAAGAGTATGTGCAGTTCACAGTAGGGGTGAAGTCACCACCAGGAGAGGGTTTCTGGTCTGGAGTTGTGTGATCGCATCAGGTCCCCATCCTCAAAGACTATTTGCCTTGCACTTGACTTGAGGTACCAGACAACCCACTATTTATTCATTTCCACTTGGCCCCAGCGGGTCTGTAAGTGCTCCTGTTAGTAAAAGCTCAATCCTCCCTCTTGTCTACCTTGTGATAATCTGCATATCACCCAAACTGCCAAACCCGTCTACCTACAAAGACAAGTGATTCTGGTTCGCACCTCAGCAGATTAAGACCTTCATGTGTGGGACGTAATTCCTCACACATTAAAGATGCTCATACCACCACAGCTTAATCTTTCAGACAGGTAAGCTGTATTGATGCAAAGCCCATTTGCTCCGTGAAATGACATGCGCCCCCAGAGTTGTGGCAATATAAAAAAAGACAAAAAGAAGAAAACTGCTCAAATATTTCCCAATCCTTAGGCTCTTTTAAAAATCCTACCACAGACACCAATACCCAGGTACTGACCTATGGAAATGCTGTTATTCATACTCTCACGCACAAGTCAGTTCACAGCTACCCTCCAACTGTTTTGACTATGGTCAGGCTACAGACTAGAGTGTATCCGTGGCTAACAAAGCACAAAGTTGCTTTAAGATGTACTTTGTTAAAGTGTTCTCATTGCTCAGACCTACTCTTTGCATCTGTGTCATTC